GACGGCATGTCACGCGTTCACGAAGACGCAACGGAAGTATTGAGAATCTAAACGTAATAAAGAAGAGCAAGAAGACTGCACGGCTAATAATAATCGTCATCACTATCAACAAGTGTGGGTGTCCTTCCCAATTGAGTGAGTGAGACAGTGAATGATGAGGAGAGGGGAGTATAGCTAACTTTTATAAAAAAAAATGGTCAGGTGCGGTTATGTGGCCCCACCTGAAGTAAACAAACCCCAGCCACCTGTAATACGGGACAGGTGGTAATAGGAGTTTTTACAGGTGGGAACGGGGAACACGCAGGAGACGAAGTCAAGTAATTGTATGCAAAAGAAAACCTATTGAGAATACGCGGTTGTACTTTGAGTGGTCGAGAAATAGTTGTCCTAATCCTAACCTCCAACCCTAACCCCTAACCCTAGCTCCTAACTCGAATCTCTAACTCTAAATCCTAACCCCAACCCCAACTGTATAGTGTCCATCAGGTGGGACTACATAGCCACATCTTACCGAAAAAAATCAACTTCCTGCAAAACGGAATTTCAGTACAATGGTTTAGAACAAAGCCAGAATTTGATCTGGAATTTGGTGGCAGACTGTTATTTAATCTTATTTGTCGCAGTAATTACTTTCTGTGTCGGCATAATACAGTGAATAGAGAGCACAGGCCTCAGATCAAATAATAACAGTAAATGGACTTCAGATAGAGAGCACCGTATACTCTAGGATGTGGATTCAGTGCAGACTAGTCTACCGCTTAAACCGGAGAATTCCTACGAAGAAGTTCGTTTATTTCACTCAGGATCCTGGTTCGACGTGATCACGTCAACTATAGCAGTGTCTCACTTTGAAACTTGATTTTCTTTCACGTTTGATTTCGTCTTCTTCCTCCTCCACCTTCCCCCGATAGAAAACGCTTTGTAGATTGACTCATATCGCCATCTATGGCCGCTGTAGGACCAAGCTCGACCCCTACTGCCACAATTTGGGCGGTAAGTTAGCACTTGCTAAAATACAGCATGTTAATGAAGCAGAAAAACCAACCAAATTCACTGGCGTTAATCGCGCACGGTAACGGGGACCTCCCCTGACCCCCCGCGCTAAATTCCGGCTTGGTTTCTCTTCTCCTGCCCTCATAAACCCAATTCTAAATCTAACTCACCGGAGAGTTTGGACAAAGTAACAGGGCAGGCCCATATTCCCGCATCCAACAAAAGCATCTTAGTGTCAATGCTCAGGGGACCGAATCCATGAGACGGTTGGAGTGTTCCTCCCCGCAGGCTTTGGCCTTTCTGGCAACACGTAGGTTGAGTCGTAGCGGGACCCTGCCAAGTGTATGATCAAAGACGGAGGTGGGTACTGAAGTGGTCAAGCGTGCTCTGGTAAGTGTGCAGTGGCTAGATATCTCTTAGAACGATGGTATCAGATTGGAAAAGTTGAGAGATCCGGGTTGATTATATGAAGAAGAAGAAGAAGAAGAAGAAGAAGAAGATGATGATGATGATGATGATGATGATGATGAGGAGGAGGAGGAGGATGATGATGATGATGGTGGTGGTGGTGGTGGTGGTGATGATGATGATGATGATGATGATGATGATGATGATGATGATGATGATGATGATGATGATGATGATGATGATGATGATGATGATGATGATGATGATGATGATGATGATGATGATGATGATGATGATGATGATGATGATGATGATGATGATGATGATGAGCTCTCCGGAACAGGTTTATTTAAATGCTGACGTTTCAAAGAGCTTGGTCGTCTCTCGATTGTCAAAGCATAAAATGCACTTAATCGACCAGAAATTTCAAGTGGCATGTTGTGTTGGTCGACCTCATGCTGATCGATTTTTCTCTCCTCTCGCTGCTTCGGCCTCCTCACTCAGTGAGGAAGAATAAGAACCGCCAGACCGATCGCCCGACCAAGGTTCAATCAGCTCCCCCCGACGGAGTTATGACTCACAAAGCACGAAGTCAACCAACATCAACTACTTGAAATTTCTGATCGATTATGTGCATTTTACGCTTTGACAATGGAGAGCCGACTAAGCTCTTTGAAACGTCAGCATTTAAATAAACCGGTTCCGGAGAGCCCATCTTCTTCTTCTTCTTCAAACGATGGTAGCGCATATTCGCGAGAGCTGAGTTGTCCATTGGGGCGAAATCAGTAAGACATTTATCAATTAGACAACAGTTCCCCACTATTGAACAGAGTACGGACCAATACATGGGGGACTTTGAAGATCATTTCTTACTTATTAGTCGTCGTG